TCTCAAATTTTTTCTGGTGGTTGATTTCAAGTTTCAAAAGAGTTGTGGTCAGCAAATATGCATGGTATGATCTCAATCTTTTTTGTATTTGTTGAGGCCTGATTTGTGACCTAGTAATGTGATCTATTCTGGAGAATGTTCTGTGTGTACTTGAAAAGGATGTGTATTCTTCTGCTTTAGTTTGAATGTTCTGAATATATCTGTTAAGTCCCTCTGGTCCAGCATGTCATTCGAAGCCACTGTTTGCTTGTTGATTTTCTTAGATTATCTATCCATTGCAGGAAGTGGCATGTTAAAGTTCCCTACTATTATTGTATTGTTACAGTTCTTTATGTTTGTAATCAATTGATTTATATATTTGGGTGCTCCCAAGGTAGGGACATAAATATTTACAATTGTTAAATCTTCTTGTTGGGGGGATCCCTGGGTGGCTCAGTGGTGTAGCGCCTGCCTTTGGCCTGGGGCGTGATCCTGGGGTCCTGGGATCGAGTCCCGCGTCGGGCTCCCGGCATGGAGCCTGCTTCTGCCTCTGCCTGTGTCTCTGCCTCTCTCTCTCTCTGTGTCTATCATGATAATAAATAAAATCCTTTTTTTAAAAAAAAAGATCTTCTTGTTGGATAGACCCTTTTATTATGATATAGTAACCTTCTTCATCTCTTGTTACAATCTTTGGTTTAAAATCTAGTTTGTCTGATATAAGGATGGCTATTTCAGCTTTCTTTTAATGTCCATTAGCATGATGAATGGTTCTCCATCTCTTCGCTTTCAGTCTATAGGTGTCTTTAGGCCCAAAGTGAGTCTCTTGTAGGCAGTGTATAGACGGGTCTTATTTTTTTATTCATTCCCATACTGTATGTCTTTTGATTGGAGCATTTAGTCCATTTACATTCGGAGTGATTACGGACAGTAATGAACTTAGTGCCATTGTATTACCAGTAAAGTTGTTTCTGGAGATTTTTTCTGTTCCTTTCTAGTCTTTGTTGCTTTTGATCTTTCTTTCCTACTTGAAGAGTTCCCTTTAATATTTCTTGCAGGGCTGGTTCAGTGGTCATGAACTCGTTTATTTTTTGTTTGTCTGCGAAACTCTTTATCTCTCCTATTATGCCTTGCTGGATAAAATATTCCTGGCCCCATTTTTCCCACTCAAAATGTTGAATATATTATGCCTCTCCTTTCTGGCTTGCCAAGTTGTTGTTGTTTTTTTTAAAGATTTTACTTATTTATTTGAAAGAGAGAGAGCAAGTGCACAAATGGCAGGGGGAGGGGCAGTGGAAGAGGGAGAAGCAGATTCCCTGCTGAGCAGGGGGCCTGATGTGGGGGGGATCACAACCTGAGCCGAAGGAAGACATTTAACCAACTGAGCTACTCAGGAGCCCGTGGCCTGCCAAGTTTCTGTGAATTAAGTCTGCTGCTTGTTTTGCTTTGTAAATTAGGGATTTCTTTTCCCTTATTCTCAGGACGTTTTCCTTATCTCTGTATTTAACAAATTTTACTAAGATATGTCTTAGTGTTGGCCTGCTTTTGTTGATTTTGATGGAAGTTCTCTGTGCCTCTTAGATTTGGATGTCTGTTTCTTTCCCCAGATTAGGTAAAATTTCAGGTATATTTTCCTCAAATAAACCTGGTGCCCCCCTTTCCCCTCTTCTTCTGGAACTCCAATGATACAAATATTATTATACTTTGTTATGCTGAATTCCCTAAGTCTACAATCGTAATCCGATATTTTCCTTTCCCTCTTCTTTTCAGCTTATTTTCCATAATTTTATCTTCTATATCACTTATATGTTCTTCTGATTCTTCCATCCTTGTGCTCATTATATCTAGTGGATTTCATATTTCAGTTACAGCAGTTTTTATTTTGGCTTGACTGGTTTTTAGGTCTTTTATCTCTGTAGTAAGGGACTCCCTGGTGTCTTCTATGCTTTTCTCAAGCTCAGCTAAGTAGCCTTATGATTGTTGTTTTAAATTCTGATTCAGGCATCTTACTTAGAGCTGTTTCAGTTAGATACCTGACCATGACCTTTTCTTGTTCTTTCTTTTGGGATGAATTACTCTGTCTTTGCATTTTGTCTAGGTCTCTGTCTTCTGTGTGTTAGGAAAGCTTGTTATGTTCCCTGCTCCTGAGGGTAATGGCTATATGCCTAGCACTTCAGGAAGTGTCTCTGATGTATGCTGTGTGCACTTTGCTCTTGTGTTTTGGCTGCTCTTCCCTTCACATCAGTCCTCTGTGGAGTTTCTCCTTGCTTGCTGTGGGGAGTGTTTAGACCTTGTCCAGTGTTTGGCAAGTTTTAACTAGGTGTGCTTTGGTCTGCTTGTTAAGAGGCTAGATCCTGTTTCCACCAGAGCTGAAGCACTCTATGGTCAGTAGGCTTGGTGTATGTGTTTGTGTGGGGGTTCTGCTGTTCTTCTGGGGGAGGGGGCCCACTCCTGCTCTGGTTCTCAGGCATGTCTGCCTTAGTAAAAAAGCACTTGCAGAGTGCAGGGTGGTGGGGCTTGAAATAAGCAGCTGTGGGTACTGTGCTGCTTGCTCACTGAAGTCAGACCATGCTGATGGACAGGGGAGAAAAATGGCATCAGTCAGGTCTTTCCTCCCTGGAGAGGGGAGTCTGCACTACCACCACTGTCCAGAAAGCCCTCATAGAAAAGCTATCAATCTTTCCTTTGTTACCTAGACATCCCCCAGATCTCTGCCTTCACCCTGTCTGTGCCCACCTGGCAGCACAGTGCTCCTGTGTTTTATTTCAGAAAGACTGGGTTTGAAAACCTCAAATTTTAGAGACTAGGCATGATGCAGACTCACTCTGATCCTCTGGGGAAGGGTCTTGTTGCGCTGTGGCTGGTGCATGTTTGTCCCAGAAGGGCAGTCACATGAATGTGACACACACACACACACACACACACACACACACACACAGAGAGAGAGAGAGAGAGAGAGAGAGAGAGAGAGAGAGAGGCAGGCAGAGACATAGGCAGAGGGAGAAGCAGGCTCCATGCAGGGAGCCTGATGCGGGACTCGATCCCTGGACCCCAGGATCACACCCTGAGCCAAAGGCAGATGCTCAACTGCTTAGCCACCCAGGCATCCCTACTCTCCCATCTTAACTCCTTTTCACTAAATGCTATTTATAAATTGCTTTTACTCCTATGCACGACTTTGGGAAGGTTACTTATTTATTTTTTTAAAAGATTTTATTTATTTATTCATGAGAGAGACAGAGAGAGAGAGAGAGAGAGATAGAGAGAGAGAGGCAGAGACACAGGCAGAGGGTGAAGCAGGCTTCATGCAGGGAACCTAATGCAGGACTCAATCCCGGGACTCCAGGATCACGCCCTGGGCTGAAGGCAGGTGCCAAACCGCTAAGCCACCCAGGGATCCCCCTGGGAAGGTTACTTAATCCTTTTGTGCCTCTGTTAGCTACTCTATAAAATGGGGGTATGAAATGAAGTTACTTTCTTCAAAGGACTGATGTGAGGATTAAATGTAGTAATACATATAAGAGGCTCAGTACAGTATAGGAAGCCGTCAGTAAGGATTTACACCTATTAAAACTGTTATTGATCACGTGCATTTGTTTTGGAAGCACTTACAGCACAGCACTGGTTAGGTCACTCCCCTGGGTGAGTCCCTGACTGATAAGGGCTGCTCTCTCTTCTGTCCATTCTTTAAACTAAGTTGTTCTATCTCAGGGCCTCTTCTCTCCTCAGTGCTTCCTGCATGGTTGCATCTGTAACTGTGACTTCAATTGCCATTTAGATGGCTCACAATTCTTAAATCTGAACTCAGTATGTCCTAAACTAGACTCATTCCCTACCTTTTCCTCCCACAACTTAGTCTTTTCCTTATGATCCATGTATCTTGGTGAATGGCACAACCATTCACCTTGCTGATCAAACCAGAAACTTGAGCACTATACACGATTCCTTTTTCTTCCTCCCTTCTCATAACCAATCACTCATTAAATCCTAATTCTATCACCAAAATACCTATCAAATTTATCCTCTTCTCTCCATTTCTACTACCTCTTCTCCAGCCTATAACCCCTTGCTGTTATTGCAAAACCTCCTGTTTCTTTTGCTCCCTCAATCCATTCAACCCTCAGAGTGACTGTTCTACTCTGATTTGTCACTTTCTTACTTTTCAATAGCAATGCACTCTTCTTAGGATAAGGTCTAAACTCTTCACTTCCCTATAAAGGGATATATGATTTAGGCTCTACATTAACTCTCTGGTTTATGTCCAACTATCCTTAGCAGCCTCATCCCCCTTTCCAAAATGGTATCTCTCCTCTTTGCTTATACATCTGGATGCTGGTCTATCCTTCACCTTTCCTGACTGAACCAATCTCCTACTCCTCTACTCCTACCCAAATTTTCCTATTGTGCTCTCTGAAATTCTCTTTCCACAGTACACCTATTTAACCTATTCATTGTATGTGTAGTCTTGCCGAATCCAAAACCCAGATCGCCACTAAGGGTACTGGTACCTTCACAGACTTCTGAAATGGAAGTTACTCATTTTTTTCTGCTTCAATGCTAATTCCAGACCTTTTCTCTTCTAACCTCTTTATAAAAATCTCTTTGTTTCTCTAATGCTATCCAGCCAGGCCACCTTTTGCTTTTTCTTCATAGTGGTCATTTACCAAAGTTGCCTCTCCTCATCCCTAGTCTCTTTCATGGGCACTGCTTCCTCTTCTCCCTTAAATATTGGTGTTCCTCGGATCTCCCTGAGGCGTTCTTTTGCCACATTCCTCCTCCCCCAGCTTTAAATAAAACTGATGTTTTAATAATTAAGTTGTAATCTCTCTTGAGAAAGTTATTTCTTCCTTAAGGAGTATTTTATTATAATTTAAAAACATTAAAGAACTTGGCATTAAAACATTTTTTAGGTAGGTTCTCTACTGTATATTCTCTACCATACTGTTGCTGGCCTCACAACAATTCCTTAACAATATCCTGGTTAAATAAAGCAAGTAAACAGAAATTTAACAAGTCAAAATTACCTTTATCACCAAGGTCTCTGAAAAAGGTTGCTCCAGAACGAGTTGGTTGGATTCCTGCCAGTATATCCTCGATATCCTTTGAATGCACATTAAAATCTTTAAATTTAACTTATAAAAGTTCATTTATTTTGTCACCAAGAAAACAAAAAGAAAGGGAGAAAGAACTCTCTCCCATACATCCTGCTTACCTTTTTTGTCAGCTTCTTTACTGCAGTTTTACCTACAGCAAAGAAGAAACATTATTTAATATCCACATTCCTTGGTAAAACTCAACTTCTACTAAGAACAAAAATCATTTAAAAGACAAAACAGACAACTAAATATTTCTAAGGAAATAAAACTTAGGCAATTTAGCTCGTGTCTTTAAACCAAAGTTATGAGCTGGAGAATTCTAAGTCTAAACACAAAGACATCATGGGTTGTTTTTAGACCTACTTTTCAATTTCACTCACCCTATTTCAGACATATAAAATCTTTTTTAAAAAATATTTTATTTATTTATTCATGAGAGACACACAAAGAGAGAGAGAGAGAGAGAGAGAGAGAGACAGAGACAGAGACAGGCAGAGGGAGAAGCACGCTCCATGCGGGAAGCCCGACATGGGACTCGATCCCAGGCCTCCAGGATCATGCCCTGGGCCAAAGGCAGGCGCTAAACCGCTGAGCCATCCAGGGATCCTCTAGACATATAAAATCTTATCACCATATTTTACTTCTCTTAGTTGTCTGCATCATAAATAAATTCTTGTCAAACCTGATTAAAAAAAAAATCTTTTTGCTTTCACTGATTAAAAAATACAAAACTGCCCTTTTAAACCCTAAAAGTTCTCTTAAGTTTTCAGCTCTCTAGTCAATTTAAAAGTCTAGCCAACGTGACTATACATTCCAAAGTTATTTTTAATAATTTCCTATTGGACAACAGATTTGTAATTCTTTCAGGTGTTTAGACATCCTCATTATTGCTTACATCATTTTCCTCTTATCCACTATAATAATTTTTTTTAAAGATTTTATTTATTCATGAGAGACAGAGAGAGAGGCAGATAGACACAGGCAGAAGGAGAAGCAGGCTTCATGCAGGGAGCCCAATGTGGGACTCGATCTCAGGTCCCCAGGTTCACACCCTGAGCCAACGGCAGATGCTCAACTGCTGAGCCACCCAGCCATCCATATCCACTATAATTCTAAAGCAATCAGGTGCTTCTTTTGTTGAGACTTATTTTGAAGATGGCCTCAAGTCATTTATACATCCAGAATGCTGAAAAATGTTTTACTTTCTTACATAAGTCATATGCATCACAAACTTCCCTTTCTGCTTCAAGATTATCTTATCTATGAAGTTCCTTCAGTGTAATTACATGGTCTATGAAAGTTCAGGTGACAGGTTAAAAAAAATGAATACTTTCAGATGTGCCTTTTCTGTACTTTAGGATGCTTAATTTGGACTATATATCTATTGGGGACACATTCTATCATTTGGTGTTAACAAATTGTCAGAATTTTAATTTTGCATTATTTTTTTTAAAGATTTTATTTATTTATGAGAGACTCAGAGAGAGAGAGAGAGAGAGAGAGAGAGAGAGGCAGAGACATAGGCAGAAGGAGAAGCAGGCTCCCCATGGGGAGCCCAATGTGGAACTTGATCCCAGGACCCCAGGATCATGGCCTGAGCCAAAGGCTCAACCACGGAGCCACCCAAGCGCTCTTTAGTTTTGTATTATTAATGAAAACAGTGGTTGTGGGCAGCCTGGCTGGCTAAGCGGTTTAGCACTGCCTTTGGCTCAGGTTATGATCCCAGGATCGAGTCCCACGTTGGGCTCCCTGCATGGAGCCTGCTTCTCCCTCTGCCTGGTCTCTGCCTCTCATGAATAAATAAATAAAATCCTTAAAAAAAAAAAAAGAAAAAAAAAGAAAATAGTGGTTGCAGATATGACTGTATCATTTTTAGAAACATCTATGACAAATGTTTATAAACTTAGGTGTTACTAGTTTGGGATAATTTTAAACAATGTGTCATACAATGACAAAGAACCCTAGATTCTAATGTTAGGCGCTAATATACCCTTAGATCATCAAATAGTCAAAAGTTATTACCTAAATTACAAGCCTAAGGGTTTGTGTGAATGTGTATATAGAGAGATGATGGTAATACAATGCTGATAACAGAGCCCAGAAAAATATGTAATACATATATTTTTATCTACCTTTGTATATTCTATTAAAAAAATTAAAAAAAAGAAATTGATCACGATTCACATACCTTATGTTGTTCTTCTTCATGTTCAAATTATTCATTACCTTAGGCACTTTTAAACAATTAAGGTTACTCCCCAAAGAGATTAATCCTTGTACCCAACAGAAAAAAGGATTCTAGGAAGTAATAATTGACATCTTGAAGTTGACAATATGGGTGGTTTCTAAGTAACAAGATTATTTCTAAGGGGTCTTATATTTGCTTCATATCTAGATTTCTTTTTGGTCTTTTAACAATTTATGTGCTTAAAAAATCCTTCTACTTAATACTGAGTGAGGAAAGAAGGTAGCCTTTGCTTCCCTGTGGCTAGAAGTCTTGATGCCAAATACCTAAGCCAGTAAAATTCAATACAATATGAATAAAATACAACAATAAAGTCATGAACTACAAAAATCACATGTAAGAATGAAACTATAAAACCCTACTGAGGCAGATTCCATATCTGTCCTTCCTTTTATGTAGCTCAGTGATTAGCATTTAAATATTGGTTGAGTGAATAACTGAAAAAAAAATTAGAAAAGATTCCAGGAAGTCTTCTTATTCAGATCCCTGCCTTTAAGTGGTTAATAATTATTATCCTCATTTTACAAATAAAACAAATAAGGCTGACAGGCAAGAGGAATTAGGTCACAATGTGGGCACTCGAGGATTTCTCTTCTCATCAAGATTTTTCAAAAGCAGGTGTTAGATGTCTTCAGTTCTATTAAAGTAGCAATTGGGAACCTGTGGACCACTCTCAACACTTCAGGAAATTTCACAGAACTGAATGATTAAACATGGGATGGTTAGAGAGGGAACACTGGTTATTTCATGCTGATTACAAGTTCTGCTGGTACTAGCATACATGTTTATCAAAAATGGAGAAACTAATGTACCTAATAAGCTTCTCTTGTATGAAATACTCTTCAAAATGGAATCAATAATTTTTTAAATGACACATCATTTTAGCTGACAAAAAGAGGTCATTCTCTTACATAAAACTCATTTTTAGATTAAAAAAATAAGTCAGAGCTACTAGGGGTAAACATCTAATTTCTCTTGTTTCTTCTTCCTCCTAATAAACTTTTCTTTCAGTAAGAGAAGGGGTTGTGATGTTTCAAACTCAGAACACCAGGGTAGAAAGTGTCTCACCCAGGTGTGCCTACCTGTATACCACTTGTTCATGCACTGTACTGAGGATACCACAGATCAAAATAAGACGTCCATGGTCTATGGTATGATAAACCACGACTTTCATTCTTCTGACAGCAACTACAACATCAGGACATATTAAATATACCCAAATATTTTTGGCCACATTTTTCTATTTAAGAATGAAACCCATTTTATTTTATTTTATTTTTTAATTTATTTTATTTTTTTCAAGTTTTTTTTTAAGGATTTTATTATTTATTTATTCATGAGAGACAGAGAGAGAGAGAGAGAGAGAGAGAGAGAGAGAGAGAGAGAGAGGCAGAGACGCAGGCAGAGGGAGAAGCAGGCTCCATGCAGGGAGCCCAACGTGGGACTCGATCCCGGGTCTCCAGGATCAGGCCCTGAGCCGAAGGCAGGTGCTAAACCGCTGAGCCACCCAGGTGTCCCGAAACCCATTTTAAATTATCTACAAATTTTTGTGTGTGTGTGTGTGTGTCTGTTTTGTCTGTCTGGTTTTTTCTTGGAGGGAGGGGAAAATTCTTGCTTTCCTTTCTTTGGAAATATATAAAAAAACCCAGTCTTTTTATATGCATACCTATTTCATATATATTCATGTACTCATATATGGAAATAACAGAATGGGGGAAAAACAGCAAAAAGGTAGAGCTAGAGTTGAAGCTGTAATGTTTTATTACATGAGCTTGAAGAATGGCAAATACATTGTGGCTTTTCTTGGCAGGGGGAAGCACAGCCCTATGAAGCACTACAATGGAATTCTGGCTCAGGAAGTAGAATGTTTTTAAAGGTCTCCACCTCTTTATAGAGATTCCGCCATGTGGCTTTCACTGTTTACAGAGGATTTCCAAAGTAAAACTCAGGAACAAGCACATCTTGTTAAAGACAAACAGTCATTTTAATACTTAAAATACGTAAAACTGCATTAATACATATTAAGTATTATTACAGGTCGAATACATCTTTGCTGCTAGCCAAAATAAAGTTATTTGATGATTGTAACTATAAAAACATTATTAATGGTATCTAATTCCAGTTCACTTTGCTGGAGGTAAGCAGCCTTTGATACATAACAATTAGACAGCAGAGACACTGCCATCATTTCAGGTCTTTTGCATGAATATATAGAACAACTTGGCATCAATGTTAAAAATAGTATGACAGAACTAGTTACTCCAATACTTGCTTGAATTCAATCACAGCTAATATGAAAACTAAGGGAGAAAATGACATATTAGCAAAACAAACTTCCTAATATCACTAAATAAAAGTGATAACTGGAGGGAAAAAAAGGAGGGCAAATTAAATGGTGCTATTTTCCTTCAACAAAGTATGTGGTTTGCTCATTTCTACTGGAATATTTAAATAATGAGAGCAAGAGATATCCTCTGGTTGGTATTTCTTCCACAGGGAGACAAACAGTGACCTCCAAAAATGCCTGAAACTCACCTACTTGTCAACTTTGCTAAACTGCTCTTCAAATATATTTAAATTATTTTTGAAGAGGAAAAAAAGTGACTATTTTTTGCAACCTCAAGTACTGTGAAATAATAACATTACACAGAACACAGAATACAAAAATATTCCAGCAGAAATAGTAATGTAGTATATAATAACAGCAATAGGCCTCTTTATTTACACAACAAATAATTTAATTACAGTTTAAAACTGATGTATGGGGCACCTGGGTGGCTCAGTGGTTGAGCATCTGCCTTGGACTCAGGTCCTGATCCCGGGGTCCTGGGATCGAGTCTCATATCAGGCTCCTTGCAGGGAGCCTGCTTCTCCCTCTGCCTCTCTCTGTGTCTTTCATGAAT